GCGGGCGTGAGGTATACGTGCGGCCACTTGCACAAATCGACGTTAGGGGGAGGACGCTACGTCACGCATTTATACACCCGGGTAGCTACTGATTGTAGGCATAAATGATAACTTTTGATCCGGTCGCCAAATCCTATCCTATACAGCAAATGCGAAAATCGTAGCGACGTTGTTCGTCACGAAATGAAAGAGAGGAGCCGATGCAAGCCGCGTGGGAAGTGAAGGCCGCATACTTGGCAGGCGCAAGCGACCTCAATTCAGCCAGCACCGGTCGTCACATCCAAAAAGGAATTGTGCCGCACTCCCACACGAGCACAACTACTCATCTGCCGGTAAAACACCATTTTCAGCGCCGTGCAGAGCATCCAGTGCACGTTCCAGCTCCTGCTCAGCGACCATGACGGTTCCAGCACGCGCGGTACTCAAATAACTCATCTCAACAGGATCCTCCAGTTGCCCTGTGGTTTCGCCAACTAATCTGCCAGCTACACCGCACACGATACCAGTGCTTTCCATTGGCAGACCTCGCAGGTCCAAGGTGATGGGTGTCAAGAACTCATCTCTGGAGCCTAGGAGAGTATCTTGCGCGAAATGCGGTAGTAAGGTTTCGTCGAGCAGCAGCGCGGCAGACTCGGTATCAGTTAGTGTGAGGGATAAAAATTTCGGATATGGCTGCGTGATGAGGCATTTTACGAGACCAAGGTGGAGTGCGTCGTCGGCGGATGTTGTCATGCTGTTGCGGTTTCGAGCTTGAGACATGCCATTTGTACTGTCGCGTCGACCGGCGCACTGCACGAGGCGGATGCTTGAATCCACCGTGGGAACAATGTGACGACGCTTGAGTGTAGCGAAGGTCCTGGTTTGAAGCTCTGAAATTGTGGTTGGCGGAGGGGTGCTGGGCGGCTGAACTTCCAGTGACGCGGCTGAGTGTTTGCGAGCATGTTGGAAGGAGTTGACGTATGAGGAAGTGTCTTTCTCGAATTGGAAACCACGCTCTTCTAGCGCTTGTACGACCTGCGATCGGTGTCGCAGTGGGACCAAAATATAGTCGGAGAAGTAAGTGGTGATAAAGAATATGGGACTGGAATTAAGTCAGCCTTGTGCCGAAGCGTTGTGATGGCCTCAACTTACATTCCAGCCAGAGCAAGAGGACTTGTCAGCTCCAAGACGCGTTGTCCTGCATCAAGACCCTCGCCATCGACTTGCATTACGACATAGTCATCTGTGGTAATACTGACAGACGCTCTTGACTCAGGATCCAGCAAGTTGAGAACAGGCAGAAATAGTTCACTCGCAAGCGTCCTCGAGCATACTATGGAGCACTCGACTGGTGTAATGGAGATATTCACAAAGGGATGTTCGCAAGGCCAGCCTTTGGGCGGCTGCACGGCGCCAGAGCCGTTTCCATAAGACTTGCGCGTCGCATTGGGCAGAACTAGTTGAAGGATGGACTGGAGAAAGTTGCGATACAGAGGTAACGGGATGTGTATGAGAGCGAGTTGGGTATCCTTGAAGGTGATCATGTTAGCTGATGTCTATGGGAGAGAAAATTTCAGTGTGGGAGGCGAATTATAAGAGTTGCCCTGCCGTTATGTCGTGCATGAAGGACCCGCCACCAAGGCTCTCTCCGGTGTAAGACACGGACACTTTTGCTACCATGCAATGCAGCAGAACGCATGATGAGGGGAAGGCCCACGTACCAGAATACGGATATTCGCACTGAGCAGTGTCAAAGATGAGTCCATTACGTGCCACAAAAAGTAGATAAGAATAGGCGTTTTCGATGACGATCGCTCGCGTGCCCGTGGGTAGCTGGATTCGGGATCACTTTCCGATTCGGCAAGTCAAGCTTGACGAGGCTTGCTAAGAGGTCCGTGGAGCCTCCAGAAACCGTAGAAAAAGCAAGCTTATCGTTATTCTGAGAGCCTTGGGATCGCGACGATGGCATGCAGCCACAGATGAAAATGCGGGGGATCTGACCAGACTATCGGTTGATGTGTTCTTGTCCAACGGGCCAATGCGAAGTATTGTTTTTGAAGCCGAAATTCATCCCACAAGCCGGAGATGTGTAACTTGGAGAGCAGGATGTGTGGCGCCTGGATACCTCGGGTGTATATGACACAAGGCGCTGTAAGCAATCGTACCGATTCAGTTACGGACCGATGGCAAGCGTAGAAGTGACACAATTGCAGGGCACGGTCTGGAAGCTGCTGTATGTGACCTCGAGGCGTGGATTAGGACAAAATGCCGTGAGTCTGGGGTAAAAGATGCGGCGTGGGGATTGATGCAGGTAACCCTTGTCTAATTGGCTGGGAGGCTCACGGATGGTACAGGTGGATGAACCTTATAGTTGGATTTCAGGGCAGAGTGCGCAATGCGCGGGGCCAGATGGGCGCGTGGGGTGGCACACTGGACGGGAATGGACGCCTGGAAGACGGCTGGACGCAGGAATCGGTCCTGCGCGTAGAGCGGATGCTGCTGCTGACGTCGACTGTGAAGGCGTGGGACAGAACCCGGTCAAAAGGCAGTGGAGTGGCAGCTGGCGATGCTGACGGAGTGGACCGGTGGTTTTCAGGAAGCATCAACGCTTTATGTGAGTCGACGGGCAAGAGTGGAGCTGATATCCGGGTGTGGTGACTCGATGAGGCACCCCGAGAATTTTCCACGACGGCGCGCCCATGATGCTGGGAGATTGGCTCTGTGGCCGGCGGCAAAACAATAGTCAGCGGCGAGCAGAGCATGTCATCTTCAACAATGCGGATGGGACGTCAGAAGCAGCCACAACAGTGCATCCCTTTGTTGCTGGTGTCATGCAGCGCTCGACGAGCTGCAAGCAAGCCTTGGGATCGTCCGTGCTCGTATGCGGGCAACGACCAGTCTCCATGCCGCCGCTGCAACCAGACGCGCACCCAATCTATCTTGTGCTCGAGGGTACCTGATCTACGCCAAAATCAATGACTGAGTTGCACGGCAGCGAAGACGATATTTTCGCACCGCAGACGGGCAGACTCTCGGGAAGGCGTGTGGTAACCGCAACAACCGACTTGCTTCTCGCACCAGATGACGAACGCCATGCCTCTCAGCACGAGCTACGTATCTGCAGTCCCTGACCCCAGCAGCACATGGAGTGAAGCCCCACGGAATCCATGGGTGTTGCGGAACATGATTGCGTGCATGCAGCACTGCCCTCTGTCCCTGAGCGGGAAGCCGAGCATAGCCGCCGCTGTCGACCGGACCCTGCTTGACTATCAATCGCCCTTTGCTCCACGTCGCGATACGCGCTGATACTACCTTATTGTACATACGTCCCGCAGTCGGCACTACTCACGGGCAGATGAAGATTCGACCATGGACGTCAGAGCAGCCCGTACCTCGATGCGCGCTGTCGTGTAACCAACGAGGCGCATACCCCGCATCATCTCTCATCTCGCCTGCGCACCCTTCTTCACGACGGTGCGTTCATTGGACCCCCTCGCAATGACGTGCACGCGGGTCAGAGGGCAACCTAAACGCCTACCCGCAGTTCGGGAGAGCAGCATTGTCAAGGTGGGTCGTTCCTTGGACAGCTCGGAGTCGACCGACATGACCACCATGCGATGATGTCGTCTGCAGAACCCCTCTCGGTTCAGCAACCCGGACCCACAAGCACACGCCGCATATGCAGCACGTCTAATAAACAAGCTCGCGCGAGAGACGCTTCAAGTAGCATGCGTGGGGGCTGCTCATCATCTTACTGCGCATTATCCTCTTACCCCTCGCCAGCTCATCCAACTCCTTCCTAGGCCATAGGCGTCGCTGTTATTCTTCCTATGCTCACGGAAGCCGGGAGACCTCCCGCCATGCATGCATGACATGGACCCTGCCAGTCAGACATCGAGTACGACACGGGCAGCCTTCAAGACATTATGGCCGCCTATCAAGGCTTGGTCTGATAGTGGCTCGCAAACGACATGGCACGGCCTGGCTATGGCGTGCAGTTTGACAGCAATGTGGTCGCACTGCGTCCAGAGATAATGCGATCTCTGTACCATTGTTGCCATTCATCGCGGTTGCTCGGAGTTTGAGCTCGACTCGGATGGCCATGACTGGAGCGCGGCGTCCATAGCCGGCTCGCTTCATATACGAATCGTTACCGATCATGACTGCTACACCAGCAGATGACTACTCAGCGAAGCGCGACCGATGAGCCTATCTGATAAGCGCCAGCTTCATTTAGCAAGAGAAAGGAAAGCACGTTCCGTCAGAGTGACGAGGTATAAGAGATTCACCCAGTGAGGATATCATGCTGCGTAACCCAAGATCAGATGGAAGAAAGGCGTGAGACATCAGCACGGAGAAGGGCGAAGAGAATGGCACAAGGGCAGTGTGGTCACACAATCTGCTAGTCTGTCTGTTAGAGCTCTGGCGGTGCAGAAACCTCGCGATCTCAATCGCATGGTGCCACCCTTTCCAACACGCCATCTATCTTCGCATGGTTTTCGGAGTTACCACGCACGTTCTAGCATGGCCACACAAACCGAGGATATAACAAGTCGAGATACTGCATCTGGGAAAAGTAGCATGGTGTTATCGGAGACCTGCTCATTCTAGAAACTATATGCTATAATGCCCGTGGACGCAATGTGTGAGACAGCGAACCGAGAAGTAGAAAAGACGTAGGTGGTCAGCGGGTTTGTAGTAGGGCGAGGAAGGCAGCCTTTCTCCGTGGAGCGTCAAATCAAACGGGACAGCAATATACCAGTATTCTAAATCTTTAAATCTCAAAGACTACTCCTCAGTGATGTAAACTTAGCATCTTTTTTTGGTAGCATTCTGGAAGAACATAACTTGCACTGGACCCTGGTTCTGAATCGTGCTGAGGGCCCGTGCATGGCCGCCTGACTCGCGAGACACGTCGAAAGCGCGTTACCACAACAAACAGACACGAGCAGCACAATTCTTATCGCATCTCAGCATCACGACATCGCGACGTCAGTAGCTCCTAGTCGCATGTAGCAAAGATGGTCCGAACACATTCATCGTACACGGCCAGCCCCACGCGCTTCCAATCGCCCCAACGCAGTCCGGCGCGCCGCCCATCCCAAGATGGATCACAATATGAGATGGACCTGGACGCCCTGGGCCTCAACTCGACCTTTGAGTCTACCGAACTAGAAAACAGCCACCAACCGCCAGTCGATCACGTGGACACGAGCGAGATTGAGGGGCCGGAAGACTTCACCATGAACATGACCTACTGGATGACGGCAGATCTACCGCTGGCCCAGATAAAATCGCGAAAGGAGGCCAACACGAAACGACCGGTAATACGAATGGACGCCATACAAGACGGGAGCGAAAGCAGACATGCGACTGAAGTGGGTGACCCGGCAGTGGTGGTGGAGGACACGGAGCGGCGGAGAAGTAATACATCTCGCACAGCTTCTCCTACCAGGCGCGCGAATGGTACTAAGAACGAGCGCCAGCACAGCTCGCCAGCCTCTGAGCGGTCCATGGAGAACGACGAGAAGGTTCGGAGCTTTCTCAGCAACCTACCAGACACGGAGATGGAGGGCGCGCTCACAGGAACACCGCTACATGCCCCTAGACACAGCTTTCTCCAAGTCCCCCTGTCGTCACCCCCGAAAGCGCGATCGCTACAGCCCACCGTCGAGGACTATGATACACCGCGGAAGCCTACGCAAGAGACTGTTATACGGCACACTTCAGCTATTATCGATACGAGTGAGCAGGACGTGGCGCGCAATAAGATTGCAGAGCTACAACATCAGCTTGAGCAGCAGGAGTCTACTTCGAGATCGCGCATTACCGAACTTGAGACGATCCTTTCGTATGCCCGCTCCGAGCTCGAGAGCACGCGCAACGACAACTACAAGCACAAGGAGAAGGTGTCAAGTCTGGAGAAGAGCTTGGAGCAGCAACGTGCAGATCACGAAGCAGCTCGCGCAGCTGCAGATGCCGAGGTGAAGGCTCGAGAAGACGCGCTGGAGACCAGGATGCATGAGTTTGGAGAGCAAATGCGCCTCCAGAACCTCGCGAAGCTGGAGACTATGCTTGAAGAGTTCGAACGGCAGCGAAGGGTTCTCGAACAAGCCAAGCGGCAACTCACCGAGGAGGTGGAAGACAAAGACCAGAGGCTGGAAGAGATGCAAGCAGAGCTGGTCCAGGTGCGCCAAATACATGAGCGCGAGCTACACGATCTGAAGGAAACGCAACTACACGAGTCTGGGCATGAGGATGAGGATGCTGCGAAGAAACGTCTCTTGTTGGCCGACCAACTCTCATCGGTCCAAGCCCGCGCGGATGCTCTGCAATCAAGCCTCGAAACGGCCACGTCCGAGGCAAAGACAGCTCGTGAGGAAGCCCGAAGGAGAGACGATATGCGGTCCACTGTCGAAACACAGGCTCGACGCCAGACAGCCCGCATTGCAGAACTCGAGGGACAACTACAGGCGGCGAAGTTCGAAGTGGAATGCTCGCACGCTGATGTGGCAGCTAAACAACAACTGTTCCACACGAATCTCGATCTCAATTCTCGACTCCGCACATTGCAGTCAGATCTTGAGGCTGCACGAAGGGAGCTCACTGTAACAAACCAGCAAAGTCGTCGTACAGCTGACCTTGAAGATCGCATGAGGGATCTCCAGTCGCAACTTGACGCAGCTCGCGCGAATACAACCGCGAATAAACAGCAAGACCCGCATGCGGGCGAGCTGAGGGCGCGTATCAATTCTCTTGAGACGCAGCTCCAATCTGCGCTTGCAGACCTAGCTGCTAAGGAAGAAGAACTTCAGCATGTTGTTGCTGCCGACAGAGAACCCGAGTCTCCCCAGTCGCAACTCGAGCTGTCCGGCACTACGAAGATGACAACTGAGGGACAACCACAGGTAGCTGAGCTCGAAATGCGTATTCGGTCGTTGCAGTCGCAACTGCGATCTACTCAAGCCGACCTTGCTGCGAAGGAGCAACAGATATCAGATCTTGTCGAGTCGTCCGAACAGGCTGAGCAACGTCTGAACACAGCCCAGGGTCGATTACAGAGCCTCGAAACAGGCAACACGAACCTTCGCCAACAGCTTGCGGAAGCGCATCGCGATAGTGCCAAGGCCAGAGCTGATGCGGAACGCTTCGAGCAAGACCTTGAAGATGCCAATGATCGTCTTCAGGACGCTCGCGCGGAGGCAGATCGCCGCGTAAACGACGTTGAGAAGAAGCTCAACAAGATGAAGGAGCTGAAGCTTGAAGCCGAGAGCAAGTTCAAAGAGCTACGCGACCAGCACGAAGACATGGCGGAAGGGCACGAGGCCATGATGGAGGATGTCCGGGACAAGGCAGAAGACGCTGTACGCAAAGCCGGTGCTCTGCTCGAGCAAGAGCGTAGCGAGAAGCGGAGTCTTACCAAAGACTTGAAGCGAGCCAAAGACGATGTAGAGAAGCTCCGCACTGCTGCTATTGCAAAGCTTGCAGAAGAGGATACAGACGACGATACTACCATCTCCTCATCCGCAACCCAGACAGATGCAAAAGATGCCGAGATTGCAAACCTCCGCGACATAATCCGCAAACAAGTCTCGGAAACCAAGACCCTCAAATCCGAACTATCCACCCTTCGCAAAGACAACAAAACCTTCAAGGCTACACCTACACCATCGTCCCAGGACACGATAGCTAGCCTGGAAGCTCAAATTTCAGCCCTCCGCTCCGAGAACGAAGCCCTTGAGACTCGTCTCGCAAATCAAGCTGCTGAGAACGCTGCTATCAACCAGCAAATGGACGAGAAGCTAGCCGCTCTTCTTAGTAAGCTTATGAAGGAGAAGGCTAAGACAGTGGTGGGCAAGCGTGACGGACAGTGGACGGAGAGTGTGAGGGAGTTGGAGGAAGAAAAGAAGTTGCTGGGCAAAGTCTTGATGAGACAATGGGGAAGAGAGGAGGTTGGCATCGATGATGAGAGGGAGGCGAAGGATGGAAAACAGGCGTATCGGTACAAGTACGTCAAGAGATGAAAAGTTGGAGTACTCATTGCATAGCAAAGGCGTTATTGGTATATTTGCGAACTGACGAATTCATGACCTGGCCAACCTGGCCCGTTTTCAAGCTTCTCGCATGCCCCTCTCAACCGATGTGTATGCCCGTGCCAGCTATGCCCGTGTCAAAGTATCCTCTTGACATGAGCCCTCCATGGCCAGCCATGATGTCGCCGTCCTCAACTGCGTACACTTCCTTATAACATAACCAACGTATCATGCTCTTATAGCAGGCCCTTCCTGGCCAGTTCGACCTTCCTGCCAAACTCGCCAGTGTTCCATCCTCCCTTGCTTCCACAAATCGCGATTCCGTCACCGAGCTCGACTTTGTCTTCGACGTTCTCCCATGCGCAGGGGCAGTGGTGTGGGAAGTGGACGCAAGAAAGGGTACCGGGGCAGAGGTAGTGGGAGCATTGTGCTGTGAGGAGTTGTTAGCAAAGGACATTCATACTGCTCTTTCCTGTCATTGTAGAAGGCGCACGCGCGACGGAAGTAGTGTAGAAAGCTACGAGGCTGGGAACATATTTGCGATATAATGCAAGAGAAGGTAAGAGTGCAACATACCAGCCTCGTACTGCGCCTGATACCAACTAGCATCACTCCTCACATTCTGCGGCTCCTGATGCTGCTGTCCACCACCACCACCGAACATCTGATCGAAGAAGCCAAATTGCGCACTCGAGCCCCAGACAAACGATGCGAGGACCGCGAGAAGAATTTGGAAGCGCGCCATATCCACAGCAATATCTCGTGTGTATGCGACAAGCGTAAAGTAAACCGTGTGAAGTGTAACAAACTGTAGTCAAAGTGGATGATGTGTCGGTTTCCCCAAACCAACCAATGCAAACGAGCCAAACAAGCTGCAGCAAAGAGTCCGGGAAAGTGGCAGGGGTGTGTGGTGGTCTTGGCACAAACCATGGAAAGCTCGGTGGTCCGCAAAAAACTCCGCGCCCGACGAACTGGAATTTCGAGCTCTGCTTTATCGCGACATCCTTACGCGACACACTACCCACACCTCACATCACCTATCGCATTCGCTCAGCCGCAATCTTATCTTCTTATTGTAAATCTAGGGATATACTCAATATACCGGAATGTGAGTCTCACTCCTACAGCCGGCGCGAAAGCTGCATTTGCACACGGCGCGCGACCAGCACCACCTCAATCCCAACCAAAACCACAGGCGCAGCAGCTCCAGCACAAAAACCCTCCTCGAATCCAAGAGCGCAAAGACTAACAAATCTTTCCAGCATGCATCTCATGTACATCCCCGACCCGGCGAACCCGACCAAGCGCATCTACACGCTGAAAAAGGTCATCGACGGCGAAGTCAGCAAGAGCGCGCACCCGGCCCGTTTCTCGCCCGACGACAAGTACAGCAGGCACAGGGTTACGATTAAGAAGCGCTATGGACTGCTTTTGACGCAGCAGAGTATGTTGAGCCACCAAGCTATGGAGATACACCCGGGATGGGTTGGGTGGAGTTTGGAGATAGAGGGCTAACGAGAAGCAGAGAACAAGGTCGCTGAGAAGAACTAAGCGTCGCACACCATGCAGTAACAACGGCAAACGGCATTTTACGAGCGGGAGATAGCAATGGGGGGATGATGGTGTGGGATATAGTCGGAGACAAGGCAATGTTCTGAGATGAAAGATGGAGGATGTGGAGGCATGACAAGGGCGTTCAACGGCGTATTGGCGAAAGAAAAGTCTTCAGACGCGCGCCGATTTATTGCATGGCGGTACGGAGCGCCGAGATTCTTCTTCAGTGGTTTAAAGTCAGGGCTTTCAATGAGATGGTTATAATCACTTGATCTTTTGGGGTGCTGAAATGTACCCATGTGCTGATGCCGAGATCTGTGAGATGTGAACGTCGCAACGTCCCCACCTGGCTAAGAGCATGTTCGACGAAACGTGTTTCCCGCTCAAAGGTAAGAAGAAGGTAAAGGGTTCAAAGAATGATGTGTATTACAGCCAAGCTATACATGCATCGCGACACGACAGAGCTGGCCTATAGGTATAAAGATGCAAGGAAAGAAAAGATATCTAAAAAGAAGGGAAGAAGAGAAGAAAAGACACAAGGATGCCACACACATGCTATCTATCATCTTCGGAGTCACCACCTACAACGTACTACTTCTCCATCTCCTCCTCTCCATCGACAATCTCTCAATCGCCATCCTCCTGACCACCTCCTCGACATCCGCAAACTGCTCGTAGAACTTCAGACTCTCTGGATTCGCCAACGTCCCACTCGGCTTGATCTTCTTGCCCGAGACGATTTGCTTGACGGGTAACTCGACTTTCTTCAGGTTCACTGTGGTCTGTAGAACAAGTTAGCATCATCCTCTCAAAGGTTCACAAGAGAAATTAGAACAAAACTCACTGGAATATCCCAAGTCTGAAACACAAACCGCGGAACATGTCTCCGACTCCTCTCTTCCGCAATCTTCCTCTTGATCCTATCCACCAACCCATCCGTATACTCGTGTCCCTTGTTCATCTTCAGAAACAGCATAACACTCTCATCCGCATCGCCAGGTCTCCGTTGCCCGACACAGATGCTATCCGCGATCTCAGGGAAATGCGTCTCAATGACACTGTAGATATCTGCCGAGCCGAAACGCACACCACTGGGGTTCAGCACGCCGTCTGCGCGGCCGAGGAAGAGGATTTGGCCCGTGATGGGATGCATCTGGATGAAATCGCCGTGTGTCCATACGCCAGGGAAACGGGTAAAGTACGCAGATTGGTAGCGTGTGCCTGCCGCGTCGTCGCCGTAGAAGTAAACAGGCTGGTTGGGGAAGGATGCTGTAGCGACGAGTTCGCCTGGTTCGCCATCTGGCACCGCACACCCAGGTCCAGATTCGATGAGGGAGTCGTAGACTTGGACTTTCATACCCAGACACGGGCCCTGGCAGCCGCCACTGTACACGGGCTCGAGCGGGTTTTCGATACCGAAGCGCCCTGCTATGTCAGTACCGCCTGAGATGTTACGGAGGTGGACGTGAGCGGGGAAACCGGTGTCGTAGAACCATTCGAACTGTGCTTCGGGAAGGACCATGCCGGTTGTTGCTACACTTTTGAGGGACTTGAAGGGGAAGAGGGTGCGCGGGGTGATGTTGCGTTTTTGCAGCTCGTGGAGGAATTTGGGCGAGGTGCCGAAGTCGGTCACGCCTTGTTCTTCGAGGATGGAGAGGAAGGTTTCGGGTGTGGGTTGGAAGGGCGAGCCGTCGTAGAGGATGGAGCGGGTGCCGAAGAGGCAGACTTGGACTGAGACGACGTACATTATCCAACCCGTCTGCGTTAATTAGTCAGATGGGAGGTAAATTTGGGTCGGGGGAAGACTTACGGTTGTGTACTGTAGAACGACGCTTTCGGGCGTCATCTCCTTGTGCAGTATACTCTCCTTCGCAACGTTGACGAGAACGCCACCAGTGGAGTGCACGATACACTTCGGCACGCCCGTCGTTCCACTCGAGTACACAATCAGGAACGGATCCCTGAATGCCACCCGCTCGAACGTCAATGTGTTATCCCCTCCGGCCACTTGCAAAAACTCGTCCAACCGCACTGTTCTGGGCAGATCTGCGACATCGGCAGGTCTTCCAGGAAACCTAGGCTGCACAACAACACCCTCGAACTCTTCAACACCTCCACTCTCCATCCCCGCAACAATCTGCTCAATCTTGGGTCGAAGGTCGAAGGTCTTGCCGTTGTATACCGTCCAGTCATCCACGAAAACGTACTTGGGTCGGATCTGCAATAACCGTTCAAGAATGCCCTTGGCACCCATATCCGTACTGCTTGAGCTGAAAAGACCACCGACAGCAACTGTCGCCATGAATGCAATGAAAGTGTCGAAACTCGTTGATGCGATGATAGCGACACGATCCCCCTTTCCGACTCCTCTAGCCCGCAGCGCATTCGCGAGGACACCAACCCGTCGTCGTAGGTCACCCCATGTCAGATGACGGATCTCTGTGTTTCCCTCGCGGATTTCTGTGAGGGCGATTTTGGTTTCTTCTTTGTGGGTTGTGGTGCGTACGCCGGGGTAGGTGGGGTCGGCGGTGAAGAGGATGTTTTCGGCAAAGTTGAGATATGTGCCCTGGAACCAGTGCGGATTTGTTTCCATTGGTAGCGAGGTGTCGACGACGGTTGTGTAGTTGCCGGAATAGATAAGGTTGCTGGTTTTCCACATGTCTTCCCAAAAGTCTGTGCGTGAGGGGCCGACGCTCCAGTTGTAGAGGTCGCGGAAGGTCTGTAGCGAGCATGTTAGTGGTGTTCAACCATCTTTGACAAGTCCTGCTTCATCGTAGACGATAACGTAGATATATGGCATGCGATGAGTCTGGTCGAGTTTCATGTTCTTTCGTTTGTGTGCTCCAAGTATGAAGCACAAGTTCTGCCATCTGATGCCATCGGCAACGGCCTCTTGACTAAACAAAAGAACATGCCTGACGCGCACGATGCTTCACGCAGATATGCACCCCTCTCTGCATCACCAAGTCTGCAAGCAAAACATACCTGCATCTGCAACCCCCTTTTCGCGTTCGCATCCTGGATAAATTTCCACATCGCTGTGGACTTCGGATCCGGATGCTCCCACAGCTTGCGCGGCGTAGACACTGCCGCCACCATCATGACCGGTGCCTGGTACTGGACCTCAGTCTGCATGAGCATAGTCGCCATCTTCTCCTTGTTGAGAGAGCGAGTATATCGATCGCGAACGAATATAAGGAAAAATGTGAACCCGAAACGAACTGGAAACGAAGAGAAAAAAAGCGAGTGTATGTTGGAGCGAGTATTACACTTGTCAATGCAAAGGCATAATCATTGTAATATGAACATCTCGTCCCAACGATGCAAAGTCACATGCAGAGCGCTTGTTGTTGCATATTTCCTTCTTCTGCCCCAACAATCGGCATCTACCACGCGGGGATGCGAGCGCTTTCAGTAAACAAAAGGTACGAGAGTCTCGAACAAGACACGCCAAGTACGCGGCTAGGAACTTAAATCCATCGATTTCCACGTTTAATCCATGAGATCTGCGAAAACGCACCTTGGCCGTCAGGTACAAAAGGGGATGCCGTGGACGTTCAGGGTTTTCGATGTACAGATTCGTCGTCGCACAATTGATATGTAACCGCCCATGGCTTGTCGCTTCCCCTGCTGCTACCTCGGTGATGTCGCCGATGGGTTGAGGTCATGCGGGGGAGCTTGGATACGGATCGCATACATCCGAAGCGAACGTTTTTCGTTATACACTGTTGCTTTTGTCGCTTATCGCGTCTTATCTGGACGTTTCTGTTGAGAAGTCGATTTGAGTCTCGATCCAGTTACTCTTTTACTGTTCCGGGAGATGATGCTGTAAGGATGTAGGTAGTGCTCAGTCAGTCGATTTCGCCTCGTGAGTTGCGGGTGTCTGCGTCTTCTGTGTTGCTCCTTGCGCGCGAGCTGAAGCCAATAGAGCGGCCAGAAGGCGAGCACTTTGCATTCGGGGTCATGATCGGTTGACCATGGGACCGCGACTAATTGTGCGATGGCACGTGGCAGTTGCCAGTGCGCGCGTCTGCGTGATGAATCATAGAGATCGCTATGAGTGCACCGTGTAGGTGAACACTTAAGTCGTCACCAAGCGCACTGCTTGACTCCAGTGTCGCACAACTGCTAACGACAAGCCATAAAGGTCCAGTCGCAAGCTTTTGCTGTTCGATTCTTCATCTGTCTGCA